AGTCCCGCTGTGAACCCACAAATGTTGAGGACCCCAAAGTGTGATGATAGAAATGTACAGTACGGGTCCCCAGCACATACTGTATGTGCCAGATCTGCCCCAGTTTGTGACTCTCCAACCTCAGATCCAGTGCCTGGATACGGTTCCAGGTACCTGCTGTGCGGACTGAGGCTGGAAAAAGGAGTCTTTTTCATTATGGTCCTTGGTCTTGGAATGACCTTCAATCAAGCCTTAAACTGACAGCACTTGTCCCTATAGTTTTAAATTGAAGTTTTCTGAGGTCCTTACTACCAGCTGCTCTTGCAGTAATAAGTAGTGTACCTTTCTTACTGTCCCAAATGTGCAAAATGTAATGACTGCTTTTCGTTTAGTTTTTTTTGTTTACTTAGTTGTGTTCTATGTATTTTATATGTCTGTGTTATGTGTAAACATGTGTAACGTTGCTGCCTTCTTGGTCAGGTCAGCATTGTAAATGAGATTTTATCTCAATGCTTTTTATCTGGTTGAATAAAGGTTGAATACAAATAAATTACAAACAACGTCTGACATTTTGCAGCCTGAAGTACGGCGGTCATTTTGACAGGGCCAGGGGTTTGTTTGCCAAACTGAATGAAGTGTGTCAGCAACAATCAGCAGCCTTTGTTGTTATTCCGGGGTCACAGAGCAGCTATCTTTCCAACATAGATAAACAAAATCTCATTTCAATGTCCTCAACCTTGTACCATAATATTGACTTTTGTAACCTTCGTTATAATCCAATCACAAGCTGGGTAGTTTAGGCATTTCCTCCCTCCCGAGCATGGCCAAATCTCCCCTTCATACAGTATGTGGATTTTCACGTTCAGCAACTGTCCAAGTGCCAATATTGAAAGTTATTTTCTGTATGTTTTCTCCAGTCCCAAGGTTACCGCCAATCACCTCTGCATACAAGAGGAAATACGAGGATGACGAGGACGAGTATGACTCAGAAATGGAGGATTTTATTGACGAGGGAGAAGACGAACAAGACATTTCCAGGCATATTAGGGAAATCTTTGGATATGATAAAAACAAGTAAGTGTTGACTTAATATACACAGTTTACAAGTACTTTCCATGTATAGTAAGTTCTTTATGACATCACTTCTTTGCTTTTTACCTCATCAGATACAAGGCGGACGAGAGTGACTATGCACTTAAATTCATGGAAAGCAGCTGGAAAGATATGCAGAAAGAGGAGGCCAGGACGTAAGACGAAAATAAAACTCCCAGTCCTCAAATATACAGATGTAGTATTTACCATCTTTTATATAATGTGATTTTTCTTCTGTGTCCCTCTGCTACTTTAGCCTGCGAATGGCCGTGAAGGAAGATCAGGAGGAGGAGGAAAGAGAACTACAAGAGCTGAAAAGGCAAACTGCCAAGAGGAAAAAAAACTGAAGCCCCTATTTTCGTTGAGATTAATGAAAAACTAAAAAGCTGTGTCCCATGAGGTCTGCCATGAGGCCCAGTGACTGTGCCCACCTCGGCCTCTGTGGGACAAAAACTGTGGAACGACACGTGACATTGGCCCAGAGAAAAAGAGAAGACTGTTAGTCAAAGACAACATATGCACAAATCATTCAGGCAGTACCCTGTGACAAAGATCTCATATTTTCCCTGTTTTATTATTTATTACCCCCACTGAGTGACGGGTTTACACGGTCAACAGTCTCACATTTCTTAAAAGGAACTGAGAACTATAAATATGGAAGAGTGATATTTTGCAGACAAACAATGACATACAGGTGTTGATAAAATGCTATTTTCAGCAGAAATTGTTGCATATTTTTCCAAAACAAATGATTGTAAAGTAATTACAATATGCAGAAACACACTTTACCACTTGATGTGTTGTTTGTTTCTCTTTTAAAGGGAGTTTAGAGAAATTATTGCTTAAAGGGTTTTATTTAAATGTCTAGCTTTATGTTAACGTTTTCTCGACAATCCTAGTAATATATACAGAACTTGGGTACCACTACAAGTGTCATTTATAGAAAATGGTATGATTTTAGGTTAAAGCAATGAAATATTATTTTGCCATTTATTGTGTGGAAATTTGTTTTTTTAATATATGAAATGTGTTAAATGAAATGTCCTATTTTTTTTTTTAGTTTAAAGATTATTATATTCTTTCTGGAGGTTTCAATGGAAATGGTTCAATCCTTTTTCGAAGGCTAAGACCTGAGAGTAGAGAAAGCAGCTCTAGGAGAAAAGGTTTACATTAGGAACTGATTTAGAATAATATTTACAATTTCAGTTTGAATAAAGAAACCGCTTAAAGAATACTGACATTAATCAGATATTCAAGAGTGCTCTGATTTTCATTTAGATTCATGTATAACAACTAATAAGTAGTTTAAAAAAAGTGAGGGTTCAGATCTTTTAAAAATGTGTGCAATATTCCATAACCAAAGAATAGCTGCCTTGAAAAATAGCAAATAGGGTATATTTTATTCAAAATGTTTAAATATGCAAGTGCCTTTCCTTCCCTTTTAATCGCCATTCATGACGCACAGAGTGGGCGGGACCTGTCGTCTCGCTTGGATACTGCTCAAAGTTTGCGGAAGTTTAGTTTTTACAGCTAACGTGCAAAGTGGAAGTTCCCCGTCAGGAGGCTAAAATCAGAGAAACACGTGATTGTTTTTGTTGTACTTCAATAGATGGACCTCCGTTCAGAGAAAATACAGCGGATACTCTCCAAGGTTAGTTGTTTACCAGTGAACCAGCTTTGAAAAGTGTTTTGTAAGTAGAATGTTTACCGACCAGTGCCGGTTAGCATAGCAGGCCAGTCCCTCAAAACTGCTGTCAGCCTTCTCCAACTGGCTGAACCAGCTCTGTAACTTACCAAAGCCTGAAGAGACGATACCGGAATATGGCACAATGTGAGACGAATACGAACTTCTAGTTAACATTTTTCATAACAAATCCAGTGTTGAGCAGTCATGATGAATATAAAACCACAGCCCTGACACGCAGTGCTTCATAAAGTCAGAGGAAGTTACAGAATTGTCAAAAGGATGTCTATTGAAGGCTAATTCTTACCCAGTGTCTTCCTATCTCTTTATAAACTGCTATTATAAATTAGGTCAAAAACTAAACACTTGAATGTGTTTATAACAAGCAACATACAAATGAATGATCCATTAGCCCTTCAACTGTGTTTTTAACATTATTGACAGTACATTGACATTTCTTCATTCTGATGTTAAAATAAAATTAGAAAAATGAAAAAACAGCATATTGACAACGATAACAAAAATAAATAGGCTTACTGTAGGTTATTCCTCGTCCCCTGTTCATAATTACAAACATGTTAACATCCCATCAGTTATAACTAAGGATATTTAATTAATATACACACTTAGTCATTCATTAATTCACTCACTCTATACATGCAAGCCTTCATCAAAACACAACAAATAAGCCTCTTTTTTTTACTCCCGTATTTTAGTACAAATTCCACGATGTTGCTGTTGAGCAGCTGCAGAAGATTTATCGAATCTACCCTGAGATGATGCCATCCACAGGGACATACAGTATGTTTTTTGTCACTATATTCATCTATTTGTAGCCCTCTACAACACACATCAAATATGTTGGTTGCTGATACTGTGTGTGCCCCTTTTGTCAATTCCAGCATTCAGTGACAACACCCAAAAAGATCTCCTGAAATTAATTGGCAACGTCCCTGTGAATTATGGCGGTAAGACTGACCTATAAGAGCCAAACGACTCAGTTAGGGAAAACGGTTACGTATCATGAAGTCATTATTTTTGTACTGATGTCAGCGTCTCTATTTTAAGGCCGCTCCTACAACATTCCCATTCAACTGTGGTTGATGGACTCCTTCCCCTTCACCCCTCCCATATGCCTCCTGAGACCCACCTCCAACATGGTCATCAGAGAGGGCAAACATGTCGACAAGGAGGGGCGGCTCCACCTGCCCGGCCTGCACAACTGGGATTATGTAAGATTTAATACTTTCTTGGTGAAGTTTGAAATTGCATTCAAGATTCAAAGCTTTTATTGTCATATGCACATAAGCTACAGTGTAGAAATGACAATGAAATTCTCCTGACCCGAGCTCCTCCAACGATGCAACATATATAATAAAATACAAATAAAAAATAGTGCAAGAAGTCTATATACATGTAAATAGATTATGATATGTACAAGAATGGAATATGAAATTAAATAATGTACATTATGAAGAAATTAAATACGGTTTATTGTGGTGATAACTATTTCTATAAATAAGTAGATTGCAAGATGACAAACAGATGAATGTTTATCGAGGCACTTAACAGAGCTCAGGTGTTTAGCAGTCTTATGGCCTGTGGGATAAAACTGACTTTTTCATCACTCTTGCTGTTTGTTTTATTTCTCTGTAACAGCCCAAGTCCACCGTGTTAGTTCTTCTGACTGAGATGATTTCCAAGTTTGAGGAGGACCCTCCCCTATCCTCAAGGACGACAGTAGACAGTAAAGACCCCCATGAGCTCCTGGCATTTGTTTCTAATCTCCAGATCAATGATGGTACTTCATTTGACATGCAGCATATAAAACAAACCAGATGATTGTGAACTTTTAGCCTAACTTGTGTCTATTTCAGGTGGGAGAACACATGATCAACAGAATATCAAAGTGTCTGTTATCGGGGGAGGAGATTTAGGAATGTCATCGGTGATGAGCATTTTATCAAAGGTATATGTCAGTAAGGTTACCATGTTACCAAAGTCACAACCTCAAATTTAAATGCTGACACATTTGTTCTTATTCTAATTTTCCCCCAGTGTAAAGTTGACAAACTTGTTTTCATTGACGTCGCTGAGAGCTCCACAAAGGGCGGCAGCACAGATCTAGAGATGTTCAGTTTGCCGAAGGTGGAGGTATCCAAAGGTACGTCACTTTCTGCACTGTCACACTCTAATGTTCAAAGTGCTTTTTGGCTGAGTCATCACTGATGCCAGGTTGTTTCAAAGGTGACGTTTGCTTAGGAAAGCTATCCCTGATGACTTGCCTCTGACACAGTCACTGAACCCCGACTTCCATTACCTTAGACCTTTCAGAGCGATAACAGAAAACAATGTATCCATTTGTGATTACTTGAGAGACTTTGCCTTTCAGTTTTAGCTATTTATCTCAAGGTTTGCTGATAGATGTGTGCATGGGTTGACTAATAATACAATTTAAAAATGTTCTTTGGCAGTAATGCTACACACAGCTGCAATTAACTAAAACCATAAGCAGCAAACAAGGCAGTGCAGAGGTGCACCAAAGACAGTAACACGTATATGTTTAATATTGCACATGCCTTGCAAGATTCAACATATAAATGCATAATAATTATACAAATGAAGAGAGCAATCAAAGACAAAACATATTGCAATATTTCCTCCTTGGCTACATCAGTAGTGATAAAGACATTGGAGGAAAGGATGCTTGAAGCTGTCATTTTAGCATTTGTTAGCTTTGTAAGTTATACTAAAATGTAATAATTAGTATTCAGAATAATACAGAAGGTGTAATGATTGTTACTGGACTGTGGGAACCATACACCATCATCTCAGATCCCACAGTTTAAAAGAAAGGAAAGTTGAGTCTCTTAGCCGACCTATCACACACTGATGACGCTCCTTTTTCAGATTTGTCAGCCTCTGCGGGCTCCAGGGTCGTCGTGGTGACCGCGAACTCATGGAGCAGCGAGCAGTCGTATACGAGCGTGGTCCAGAATAATGTGGACATGTACAGAGGGATCATTCCAACTGTAGCACAGCTCAGCCCCAACGCAGTAATGCTCATCGCCTCACAGCCAGGTGAGTGTCAGAGAAAACGTCCTTCTTAAAGGAGTAAACCACCCGGTATATATATATATATTTTCACCTCTGTTTTCTTTTTCGTCCAATTCCAGTGGACATCATGTCCCATGTTGCCTGGAGACAGAGTTGCCTGCCTCCGACACATGTGATCGGAGCAGGGTGTAACCTGGACTCAGAGCGTCTCAGTCACATCCTGGACATTAACCTGAACACCCACAAACCAGCCTGGGTCATAGGAGAACTTTCAGACAACAAAGGTGAGCCAGAAAGGAGACATTTCTCCCATTCTTGATATTTGTTTTATGTCCTATATATATTCATGTTGCACTGTTGCAGGAGCCTCTGACTTAATTTTTCATTGCCATGTCTACACTGTAGCTAATTTGCACATGATAATAAAGCCTTGAACTTTAAACTTGAATGTGTGTAAGGGCCCTTTTAATAATCGGAGCACATGAACAATCTTGTCAATGTTTGTCTTGCAGTTGCCGTGATGAGTAAAACTGGGCATAGCTCCAATGTGCAGCCGGAGATTGCAGCAGGATCCAGCTCAACCAAACCACTGTTAGACAGGTACTGGCATGAATGAACATGACCTTGAGTAAAGTAGTTACAATCTATAGATGACTCAATGTAGTGTCACAGTTAAAGGAGGTTCTATGGATGTAGAGAATAAGAAGGGATTCAAAGTGGTTGCGATTCTCCTGGATTTTTTTTTAAAAGTACAATTTCTTCCTGGCTTTTAGAGCGTTTGAGATGATGAAGAGTCGCGGTCAGCGCTCATGGTCTGTCGGTCTGTCCATCGCTGACATCACTAACAGTATCCTGACAAATAAAATGAAGACACACTCTGTCTCCACGCTGGCTCAGGTAAAACACTGTGCATTCCCTATAAAAGCAAAAGCATCATTCTTATTCCATGTGTTCTCTGTTTTACTACATTTAGTTGGTAGTCAAACTTGACACAGTATCAGCATTAAATTAAATGTGCCTTTTGATGTGTTGATTGAAATCTGATTGTTTGCTTTAGGGCTGGGGTGGAATAGGTGCAGAGGTGTTTCTCAGCTTGCCGTGCATCATGGGAACAAACGGTTCCATGCGCCTGGCCGGGGTGTCTCTGGGACAGGAGGAAGACTCCAAACTGAGGGAAAGTGTCACCTCGCTTTCTAACCTCATCAGCCAGCTGAGGATATGAAGGATGTGACCCGAGTCCCAGTTTGGGAGACGGCTAACTATTACTAGGATTTTGAAGTTAATGACAAAACTGCTAAAATATGTATATGTCATAATGTCTGTGTATTTAAGGTGGGTTAATATCAATGTACAGATTTTGTATTTAAATTCACTCCAGAGGTTACTCATGTCTCAGAGTTTGCAATAACACTCCAAATGAATGCACTTTTATATCTTTGGAAAGCCATGACATTCTATGTAAAAGCATTAAAAGTAGAGTGATGCTTCTAGTTTTTAACAACTATATGTTTGTTGAATTTGGTGGCTTATTTACCAAAGATTTGGAGATTATGCTTATTTTTGTTCTCACCCATTAATTAAATAATTACTTTGAAAATCAGGGTGTCGGCAGATCAAATGTTTATTACACTGCAGCTCATATTTTAATATACTTATTAGCAGTCTTTTTGCTCTTTCTGTATTTAATGCAATAAGATCAAGTGATGTTATATTTAAATCTTTGTTCTGTTTCCTTTGTGTGAAACACTTTGAATCTAAAACATGTACAGGAAGACTACACAATTTTTCTGGGTGTGCAATAAATGTCTTAAACCAGATGTGTATTTTCTGTAGAGGAAGAGAAGACAGACAGACAACTAAGGTTTATCTCTTTATAAAACTCAAATAAGAAGTTGCATAAATGTACATAAACTTTGGTCTGAGCCCTAACTGATGTTAACCAGGTCTATAAAAGGAGCAGTGATGATGCAAATGGTGGTCAGGTCACATGACTAAAGAAGCCTGAGAAACGTAGAAGCGAGACCAAAGCTAATGAACAAACCATAACACATCTGGTAACATCACAAGATGGAAATGATTTTTTAGCAGTAACATGGAACTCCATTAGAAATCAACGTAATACTTACAGAGGATTACGAAACCTTTTGGTGAAGACAAAGGTCAGTGCAAAAAATACAACAGACGTTTAGACAGAATATAATGTAATATATAATTGCATGAAACTATATAAACATTTTTGATATTAGGTCCTTGTAAAGTATGATATGGCTCAACTTCCATTCCTCAATCACTTTTTCTTCTCAAAACAAATGGACACCAGTTTCTACATATATGGCTCTAAAATGTGGCTATGCATATGAAAGAAATCAGCTTTCGTTTGTTACTTTCCCTTGACAGAATAGAACAGTAACATGGACTCTGTCCTTTTATTCTTAAGTCTAGCTTACTATGTGCACATTCATAAATAAACATTATAGGTCGCATTTTATGTCAGAATTATTTTTCGTAAAAGCCTCCTGTCACTAGCAAGGACTTCATTTTAAAGCTTGAAGTCAGTTACTGTAACACTTCCAACCACTAGATGGAGCTACTCTTAATACATATTGTGATATGGATTTTTACTGTGGCTGTTTGTGCTGATAATATGTCGCATTCATAATATCCTTCCTTTAAGTCTGATATTTCCCTTTTCTTTAGCTTTGATGCATGTGTGTAAATTCACATGGAACAGTACATTGTTGCTGTGAAATCAGACAAACAGAAATAGCACTGAAACCACTTCTTTAAATTGGTCATCCTACTGGGTCGATTTTAGAATTTAAAAAAGCAGCGAAGAACCCACTGCATCCTGTATGGGGAAAAAAATGTTTCATGAGAATTGAACTACCTTCTGTATTTACACCAGTGACTTATTGCACCTCCTATTTCCTGTTGCTGGTGGTTACAACTTTATCTGAAGCTTAACTTAGATGCAAGAAGTCCTTTATTATCAAGTATTGATCTCAAGCTATACAGAAACTGGTATATTAATAATTGTTAATTTCAGTTGTGAGCCTGCTCACAGTTGACCAACAAACACAGTATAAATGTATAGGCTTTGGGTGCTTCAGCAAAGATGAGCTTACTCTGCAGCCTCAAAAGCCCTTGTGTTGATCTGCAGTCAGGTTAAGACACTTCTGTTGGAACAAAATGAAACTAACTGCAGATGAAGCACCGGTTGTAATTCAAAGCTGGTATTACAGTAGTTCCCCTTATATCTGTGTACATTTCTTATAATCACCCATCATATTAAAGACTGAATCTGGTCTCACACACTAACAAGCAGGCGAGATAATACACTCACTTTTTGTGCAGCAAACAGTAACACGGACAGCAGTTTTAAATAGAAGTTTGACACTTAAAAAAAGTTACCTGCCCTTACAAAAAAAGGTGACGGTATTACATAAATCTGTACAAATCGATGAAAAAAGTCCTTTCAAACAAACACACACAAATCTTTGACACACTGAATAGCTACTGGCCTTTTAACCGCTTTGAAAACGAATCAAGCATTGACAGGAAGTCTGAATAGTATTGGCATACATCAGAAACACTTGAATGAGACTTCAAAAGGTCACTGATTTGGGCAGTGGCTGTCCACCTGGAGGCATCCTGCAAAAGTCTGGGCTGGATCGGACCAGGGCCCCCCCCACGGAGGACTGTCCTGAGGGCCTGGGGTGGCCTGGTGGGGACCCCGTGTACAACAGTGGTGCTGGGAAAGCAGAATGGTCCCTGGGGCCCCGAGAGAAAGGCTTAGAGTAACTAGGTGAGGCGGCTCTGGGTGAGGCTCTGGGCGAGGCGACTCTCTGTGTGTCCGAGCAGCTGGCAGCGCCACACTCGAAAGAAGTGAGCCGGTCAGCAAAACTGGCGGGAGGAGGGGGAATGATGGAGTCTTCCACCCAGCTGTCCTCCCCCTCGTACTCTGGCTCCTGAGGCAGACTGGGGAGGGCGCACAGCGGGGGAGGTCCGAGAGAAGGTGAGGGAGGGATTGAGGGAGGGATGAACGCAGGAGGTGGAGTGTAGAGAGTGGGGTCATAGTCTCTGTCTGTGGTGTGGGGGGGGATGCCGTGAGTTTCCTCAGGCGTGGAGCCCAGCAGCCTCTCCAGGCAGCGCTCGTCCTCCTCGGCCTCCGATAGGTTGTCGTACTGCGAGGTGTTGGAGGGCCGTCTGTCGCCCGCTGGCACCGGGACGTAGAGAGAGACGGGGAACTTGGTCGGCTTTGGGGGAGGTCTGGGGGAGGAAGTGGAGGATGTGGTGAGGGCACGGGGAGGGGTAGGCTTCGAGGGAGGGGGTTTTCTCTGTGTGAGGTCAAGAGACGTGGGTGGCTTCAGGCATGGTTTTGGCTTTGTTCGGGTGACCAGTGGTGGGGCTGAGCGGGGGGAAGGAGGGTGCCACGGGGTCTCTGAGACAGCCGGGCAGGGAGATGCGCCGTCAACCGGCTCGGTGTAGAAGAAAGGTGGAGGCGGCAGATCTGGGAGGTCCATGATCTCTGCGTCAGTCTGCACAGCTTCAAAGGCAGGAGGCTCATAGGGCGGGGGCCAATCAACGGGCTCCTCCTGGGTCTGGGGGTCTCCAGGCTGGCTCTGAAGAACATTTTCGGTGTGTCTTACCTCAGGAAGCGTCCCCTTCCCCTCTCGGTCCGGCCCGGCCTCAGCACAGGGTTTCTCTGCTTTTGGAGGTAGCGGAGGTTTCCTGCAAGGCCTTATCGGAGAAGGTGTTCGTTGTGTGTGGACTACAACGGGGTCAGGGGAAGCCAGAGGAGGGGTTCTCATGTCTGCAGGAGACGGGGTCTGCTGGCGGGTGATGCTGTCCATCTGAGGGCCCTCTGTGGTGGGGGGAATGTGAGGCTGCAGGTTTACTTTGACCTCCAGAGGAGAGTCAGGCTGCTTAGGCAGGAGGGCGACCGGTCTCTCCTGACCCAGAGGTTTCTTTGGCACCTCCTCTGATTTGGCTAAAATAAGAAAATAATGAAATAAATCAACAAAGGTGAAAATAAATATACCTTATATTTTAGACAGCTTTACATGGAGAGGGAATAAGAATAAAAACTGCACCTGGAGGAGGTTGGTCCAGCTTTTTACTGCGAAGTTCCGACATAGAAGCCTGAAGCTGTTCAACCACAACATCATCATGCAGGAAGAACGAAACCTCCAGCTGCTCCTGGATGAATTCCCTCAGGTCCTCCATCGGAAGCTTCTGCAGGCGCTCTGATTGGTCACACACACACACAATACAGTCAGAAAAAAAGGTGACTATTCTTTTTGTCGCTGCCTTTTATAAAACCAAAGAACTATTCATATCTTACACTGTAGTTTGTTATTCTTGTATTCTAGTTCAGCTTGTATCATGTTGTCTTCTCATGGCTTGTTAATGACTTCTTAAACATATTTTTCTATACATGTTGTTATGTTTTTCTTTTGCACTATTTGCTATGTCTAAATGCTTTTAATGTTTTCTTGTAAAGCACTTTAAATTGCCTGGTTATTGAAATTCGCTTTATAAATCGACTTGCCTTTCTAATCAATGAGGTCACTAGTGAACCTATGTGATGAGCATAAATGATGTTGAATACACCGCTTCAACCCAGTCTTAACTTTAAGACACCAAGTCAAGAAGTGCCACATCAAAAGAGCTGCTTTGCAGGAATACAACTGTGCTGAGGCTAAGCTTGTGCAGGCGTCCAATGAAAAGGCAGCTTTCCGTTCTTCTCCACAGCAACCGGCCACTTGCATTATGTAAGCCATCCAGTTAGGAGGCAGCCAAGCGCGAGGCAGCGTGCGGCGCTACGCTCACTGGTATAGCAACAGCAGCTGGGGCTGTATCTGGGCATAAAACTGGTTTGATGCGTTCAACGCTGCACGGGAGATATTGTTATTTTCTTCTTACTCACTCTTGTGTAACTTGAGGGTTGTGTAAGCCATGGCGCTTAGCGTCTTCTCTCCCTCCAGTATGTAGATGTCCCATAAACGCAGGGTGAGGGTGAACGGGGTCTGTTATGTAAGACACGCAGCAGCAGATTAAAAAAATAAAGCACGAAAAAAACCACAGATGGGATGCACAATGAAATTCTGATGAATGATTAAAATGCAGAATATGTCTGGTACAAACAGGGAAGAGCATTTAAGGAGGATTTGAGTCAAATACTCACCCTGTCAATGAAGCACTGCAGAAACCATTTGGTGGTGTAAATCCCTGATGTCATCTGCTCCTTGTCCTGTTTGGGAGAATTAATGAGGAATATGGGAGCTCACGCCTCATAAACTGTCCTGGGTCATAAATCTAACTCTTGCACTTGCACTAACATTCTGAACATGTGGCCTTCTGCAACGTAGATTCATCAAATAATGAGAAATTAAGCATACTAATCGACCGCAGACCTTCTGAGCAATATATCAGCTCCTTGTTTCTCCTGCATGGTCAGACGTATTTTAACTTACCAGGTGTTTCTTCAGCTTCGGGAGCATTTTGGAGAGGATCAGCTCATGGTGGGCCTGGAAACGGTGCAGCTTAGGAAATCCCGGGATAAAAAACCCTAGCAAGGCGAGAAAAACACACATCAGCAGGCCATACTGGTGCATGGGAATAGTAGATTCATGATATTTACTATTTTCCCCTCTTTCAAAGATTGCTGAAGGGCACTGAGAAAGCGTGACAAAATTATTTAGGTCCTTTGATTATTTGGAACATTTGGTTAATTTTCTTTGACTCACATTAAGCTTTGGTTTATGGGAATTTGGTAAACCATTCCTAGAAGCCTAATATTTAGCAATATTATATGAAAATGTGTGGAGAGTTTACAATATCATCTCTAGAATTAATTAATTAATTAATTGAGAAGCTTATATAAAAAAGGGGAACTTTCATTTTTTTCAGCTCTAAAACGTAATATTTCACTCCTTTTAAAACGACTGTTTTCAATACACTGTTGAGTTCACACTTACTAATGTTATGCGCACATAGAGATGAGTGTACATGTTAACAAATCTGAGTATGGATTGAGTTACAGTTTCAAAACGGACACACACTTTTGTCCTTATCAATAGGTGTTGTGTTGTCGCTGCTATGGACAGTCTTGCACTGATGTACATTCTCAAAAGGTATAGAAGTGACTGTTCTTTTGTATATATTGATTGCTGTGCTTTCATTTAGGTCTTAATGTGTTCCTATGTATAAATGTGTCTTTTGATTGTGGATATATAGGTATTTACATATTTGCATACATATTTTTAAATATATTTGTATTGCATTAGGGATTGTGGGAAACGGTATTTCGATCTCTCTGTCTGTACACACAAACTGAAAGATTGACAATAAAGTTGACTTTGACTTATGTTAGTTGATATGTCTCAACATTAATCAGCCCTGTTGTTTTCCTCCCTGTCCTCATTCCTCCCTCTCTCACCGTGCATGGCATGTTTGCTGTTGGTGAGGAGCTGCGACAGAGCCCAGAAGGCCTCTTCCTCATTCAGGTACATGAGCAAGATGGCAGCGATCTGACTCATCCCCTGGCAGTAGCTCACCTCCTGGGGGACACACAGCAGAGACAGGTTCAATTAAACAGAATGGGACAATTCATAATTTAATAGAGCCCACACACACACAGACACACACTGGCCGAGACATGAGAGCACCTGAATGTCTGATGCGGTCTGAAGCCAGACTGTGGATGTGTGTTAAAACCTTACGCGCTGCATCGACATTATAAACAATTTTACCGGAGGTTGTTCAAATATTTACTGTAGCTACACATTCAGTCATTTGGTGTCCTTAACTTGGCTTTCTGCCAATTTGACTCCACAATGATCCAATTATTTAAGCTAAACACATCACCCTTGGCAAGCACAGATACACAAAAGCAGACACACACTTGGTATTTGTCCATATTAAGGCAGATTGATGGTGCAGACAGAAAAGGACACTCCGGAGTATCCTTTCAAGGAAATACAGTAAATATAATCAGGGTAACATTCAGGTTAAACGACCACATTCTCCACATTCTTCACTATCATCACATAGGCAAAACGGCAAACATACTCCCCCCTCCCTCCCTTTTCTCTCTCGCTCTCTCCCACTGACCCAGATTCTTCTGAGCAGTGTGTGAGGAGGCAAAAAGAGAGCAGCACATGCCCATTTCCTCTGGCTCACCTCTATCGCACAGTGACAGACTCCAGAGCTGAATCAGAAAAAACATGACTGTGTTCGTGTGATGGGAGTAATGTGCTGTCTTTGAATGGTAATACCAAACGGAAGCAATCTGTGCTTACACGCAAATGAATATATAAAGATTAATCCACAAGCATATGCTGAGATACAGATACATGCATGATGGTACTATATTTCAGTAAATACTTGTTGACACGGAACATCCCTACTTAGTTATAAAAGCCAGATTTCTGCCTTCAGAGTCAAACTCTGGCTTTGGGTGGAGAAAGTAAAGGGGCCATAATCATCATTATGTCTAACCTCAGTATGCGCATATGCATTTTAAATGCAATATTATAAAGCAAAAGACTGGTAAGATTAGATATAAATGGTGTCAATTAAAACAATGGATGAAACTGCCTGGTTAAGACAAATAAGTACTTGAGGTGGAAAAAAACGTGTCATTTTTGTGTTGACGAAGTATTTTAAATCAACAAAACCGTTTTATTTTATTTCCTCAACTGTTAAACGACACATAATAAAAGAGGAACTGGGTCTCACGATGTGACTGCTGACTATTGGTTTGCTGGTGGTCTGACTGTCACACTGTGTTGCTGAACATTCATGCAGCACCACACTCATAAATACAAAATCTCACCCAGGGCTCTAAACAAGAGAACAGATGGGTTTAGAGTACTTGGCCTGTTCTTCGCTGTATGGAAACACACTGTTGCTCCACTGACGTGCTGCGCGTATTATGTAACACACACCTTTCAATGCACACATCTACACACTAACACACTTACCGTGTTGTAGACAGAGTAAGCTGCTAGTACGTGAAACAGGGCCTGCTGCCTAGAGAGGGAACAGAGAAACCACCGGTTAAAATTAGGATGTGCAACAATCGAGCAAGCTGAAACAATGCTTGCAGTAAATTCCATGAAAACTCCCAGAGGCCGCATAACTGATGATTTCTCAACCACCTTATCCTCAAATTAACTCCATCCATCAGCACGGACAGACTTTGAACAGCTGCAAATATTTCTGGGGAGGCTAACCATTTTATCATTCTACTGTTTGCATAATCTGTGTGTATGTGTGTGTGTGTGTGTGTGTGTGTGTGTGTGTTTTAATGCAGGGTGTGTGTGCAAGGTCTTTGCCGAATATATTGTAGGTTTTAAGGGATCAACATAAAGCTACAATAACTTTCATCAAATCAGTTCTTTCAAAGCACCAAGGCAGCAACTATTGATTATTTCCAATATCAATTAATCTGAATATTAATTTCTATATTCATTGATAAATCATTTGGTCAATAAAATGTCAGAAAATTGTCAAAAACTCCACCCCAGTTTTTTTAAACGTCTTGTTTGTCTTTAGAAAACAAAGGTATTCTGCTTAATTTATTAAATATTTGAGATGCTTAAAAGCAGCATTTTCTGACATTTATGCATGATACATCTAACAAAAATCGGAATATTTGGTGATTACTTTTTCTCGATAAGTTGACTAATTGTTGCAGCTCTACAAAACAGCAGTGTCTATGTCCATAGGGTGGCGTGCTGCATGGCTGACTACATCTGGAGTCTCTACTGTTTCACACAGTGAACACAAGGCTGCTTCTGTGTGTGTGTGAATGTGTATCCGAGCGGAGAAGTGGCATTAACAAATACAAATGCAGAAGAGAGAGGATGTCTCCCCTCCAGGCCTCTATAGTAAATACATGACTTATAGACAGAGACAGGAAAAGCAGCTTTAAATAACTGTCAGTGTCTCTGTGTGAGTGAGACAGCTGTTGAACTGCAGGGAAGGAGTGGGCAGTGAGACAGGATGGAGCGGTGTTTTGGTCTGTTTGGACTCCATGGCTTTGAATTTGACGGGGAAACACGTTACAAAGAGGAGAGCACTGAGTCAGAGTTTACACCGACAAACCTTACAGATGTTCAAACTCACAGCTGTCTCACAACTGTGTTCGGAACATAATTTAAGTTATGTTCAAACTTTCTATTTCAAATGTTTGAGCTTTGTGGGCTTTGTCATTCTGTTCACATTTCTGTATAAATGCCATTTCCTGTGGGGTTTTGCACACTGACAGGAAGGCTAATAAAACACAGTGAGGAGGAAACCACCGCTTTGGTTTTGTGTGTGTGCCTGAGTGTGTGTGCCTGAGTGTGTGTGGGGCTGCCTCAAGTCAGAGGTCACACTCTGCTCAGTTAGCAAGGGCGAACCTGAATATGCAGAGTGACAAAGAAAATAAGAAGAAAAAAGGTTTGAAGACATTTGTTATGACGGTAACAAATTCAACAGGGTTTCTGAAATAAATAGGAATACAGGCCCTAGACGCATATTTCTGCTGAGCCAAGCTAGGAACTTACTTGACTCCAAAGCGGTCCATGAACATGATGTGGTTCCTGAACGTTCGGTTGACGTCCAAGTCGATCTGTTTGATTTCAGTGGAGAAGTTACGAGCCTGCAGCTTCATTCTCTGGAGAATAGATGGAGGAAAATGTTTTAGAGGCTAGATGTCAGAATGTATCCTAACATGGTACCCTATTTTGAGAGAAACTGTGATCCGTTTTAAGATTCCTACCTCGTATTTTCCAACATTTTCTTGTTTGACTTTCTCTACGTCCAAAAGCAAGGCCCAGGCCTGGCCTCTCAGCTGCAGAGGGATGCCTTTATATACACGCTTCACCAACTGAAACACATGTGACATATGAGCAGACATGAATGGGGTCTCTCTAAACATAAAGAGACAGTCTTCACCACAACAACTACAAGAGAGAGGCAGAGGGTCACTTATAAATGCTGGTTTATGGGATGTTAGCTCTTTTAAATGACAAGAAGTCATAACGGGCACTTATGCTTTAACTGTCTACGCTGTGGAGAAGGAAGAAGTTGAGGCTAAAAGGGGAATGGAAAACAGATTATTAAAAGATACATCAAGTCCTCGAAGCAGGAAAAAAAGGGCTAAATTGAGATGTTGGTTTTGTCCACCACTGGTGAGTAACTCACTTTTTCACTGTTCTTGTACTTCTCCCACTTCTTCGACATTTTGAGCCATTTCTCCACTCGCTCTATCTCCAGCTGCTTTTGCTGGGGAGAGGAAAGATAAACATTCATGTTATCCACTGTGTCAACCGATGTAAATATATTATATTGAAAGTCAAAATCTGGACTTTCTACGCATGTTTAAAATAGATAATACCTTCTCTTCAAGCGCACTGGGTGTTGGCAGCTCCTCCTCACTGGAGTAGAAAAAGCAGAACATGTATAAGTAATAGGCACACAGAGGATCATCTAAGTTTAGCACCAATATAAGACGTCATAATATGGTGAAGAAAAAAGGGGAAGAGGGAAAAAGACAATCTAGATACAAATGAAGGTATTCTGCTATAATTCAAACTGCCACAAGGAGCCTGTCAGAGCTTTAAGTCAGGTAACTTACTGCAGGAAGCCGAAGCGGTCAGTGACCTTGTAGATGCTGTAGTCAGCATCCTCCCAGGGGTCAATCTTGACCCCCTCCTGCCTGCCCTGAAACAGTCACAAACCATAACACCTATTAGAAAATATGTGCAAAACAAACATTTTAGAAAGTGACTTATGGTGGTGTGTTTGTGGGCTGCATTGTGATATAGATGAACAAGTACAATACATGTAATATGCTAGCTAAGGACAATGAACACTAAACAGATTCTAATGGTTCACTATAACATATTTCTAAAATGTGTCCCAGAGAAACGGCAGGGAAATGCTCTGCCGTTTAGTTTCCTCCAACTGAACCATTAACTTCAACTCTGTTATTTGTGTTCATCATACATGTTCTGAGTATTGTCAGAGTGAGGTGATGGTTTTCCTGTTCACACGCTTACCTTATCATATTTAGCGAGGATTTCAGCTCGTTCCTCTGCTATCAATGTGTCTATGTCTTTCTTCATGTCAAAAACTGGAAGAAAGCAGACAAAAATGGCTTTTAAAAAAAAAAGAAAAAAGAGCATAAACAATATTAATGCAGTGTTGTAGTCAAGTCACCAATTCACGAGTCCAAGTCACTCTCGAGTCACCACTCTTCGAGTCCGAGTCCAAGTCTGAGTCACCAAGGGAGAGTTGTAGTCAAGTCCGAGTCACCCAAGGAGTGTCCGAGTCATCATTACCTGTGTTCGAGTCCGAGTCCAAGTCCGAGTCACCTAAGAAGAGTCCAAGTCAAGTCAGAGTCACAAGTCTTCATGTATTAATCTTAGTGGATATATGTGTTGAAATGTAGATGCTCCTCTACATTGCTTTTATCATCTCATACTAATCTGTCTATTGAACTGCTGTGAAGCGAGTTTGGCTACAATTCTTGTGATAGGTGCTATACAAATATAAAGCTTATTACTAATATTAATATTATTATTGTAAATTACCTATAATATGTTTAACTATATTTAAAATGAGTTACCTTTTAGAGAAGTGATTATATTTGTATGTCAATATTTTCCGATGCTAAAGTTTTCGTTTTGCACTTTTATTTTGATNGACTCCTTTTTCCAGCCTCAGTCCGCACAGCAGGTACCTGGAACTGTATCCAGGCACTGTATCTGAGGTTGTAAGAGTCACAAACTGGACCAAAACTGGCACATATGTACAGTGGAAGCTTACCTAAAATGGCTTTATACATTAATAAAAAACTATGCTGCATCTTACGCATACTAAGTGACGACCATCCCTTTAGGCTATAGAGTTTGCAATGATGAGTCCTATAGGGTGCATTTGATATATATTTAAGCAATAGCTCACGACAGGCCGTGGTATATACTCATTATATCACAGCTATGGGGCGTGGTTCGGTGTCGGGCCGAACCACGCCCCTTAGCTGTGATATAATGAGCATATATCACGGCCTGAAGTGAGCTATTGCTTTTATAAAACGGTTACCAANTCACCTACTGGGCCCCGCTATTCTAGTCTAAAGATGTCTAGAGACACACCCCGCATCGTGCTGTATCTTTTCCAATGAGAAAGCAGAATGTGTGAAAGCATACAGCACGATGCGGGGTGTGTCTCTAGACATCTTTAGACTAGAATAGCGGGGCCCAGTAGGTGAACTCGCCTAGCAGGTGCACACGCCAGGATAGAGGACATCAGACTCCAGAGAAAACTTGCTCGAGTCCGAGTCCAAGTCGGAGAAGCGCGAGAATTTACGAGTTCAAGTTTCGCGTACAATCAGTGCGCGAATCCGAGTAGAGTCACGAGTCCCGAAAATCGGCACTCAAGTCCGAGTTTTGCTTGCCTATAGCAGAGAGGAAAGCTTCTGTTTGGACATGTTCTGACATAAAATAAAGGTTTAAGTTAACTTGATAAGTCCTTGAACATGACACATGAACACATGAACACATGACCCATTCGAGTTGAGGTCAGAGTGCAGCTCAACAAAAGGGCAGGGCTAAGCTGGAAGGAACACAGAACAGCCATCATTGTCATCACTTGGGATAATAAAAAGACTACTTATAGAACAGAAGAATACGTCTCACCATTATATCAGCTTAATATTATAAACTGTCTTACTTACTTATCCATCACCAAAACCCAAGAGGAACATTAACCAAACTGACAAATTGTACAAATAGTTTTTCTTCAAAAGTAGACTTATGCTGAAGTCTATAAGGAACACGCGTGTGAAGATAGAAGCCACAAGGCCATCAGCAACTTCCTGTTGGTGTGCCCATAGCTTCAGATGACAAAACGGTTTGCCATGATTAGACTATTTTTTGAGGCCAAATATTCTCAGTGTGACGTTAAATTAATGGTACACTGATATGTATACTGTATCTTAAAGAAAACATTGTCCCAACTCTCCATGGTAAATTTAAATCCAAAGAATGTGTCAGCTGAGGTCAGACTGAGAGTGGATCTGAACGGTTTGGACTGAACTGCTTAACCTCGGCAAAAATCTGTGCAGTGAAATGGTTCCAAGGAATCCTTCCAAACATTTGCTCTCCTCAACGTTGGACCAATAAACAATCCAGTGGTGTATTTTCAGACTCAGACAGGTTCATTTTTAACCTTGAACCACTGGAAAATGTATATAAAAGGGGGAAAGAACATATATATGACACAGAGGGACAGTCATGGGACTTCACGTTCCATAATATGTGTGTACATGTATGCAGGAAGTCATTCGCGTCTCTAACTGGCCGTTTCTCAATGTCGAGTAAACCTGCTGCAGAGCCACTATTTCAAGTATACTACGTCATCGAGTGGCGCAGAATGCTGGGCATTTAACATGCATTTAAACAGTCCTTCAGCGCCACTCGATGACGTAGTATACTTGACCTATACTTAGGTTTACTCGACATTGAGAAACGGCCTATATCTTTGCTCTGCTTGTTTGAACATGTCCTGCTGCATGTGGACATCGAATCTCCCCAAAAACCACTTCTGCAAACAAACAGCTGATCACATCGTCTGTGTGCTATTGTGTGGTGAGTGTTGGTTTCCCCAAACTCAACTATTATGCTTTTTTGAGTTTTCCCTTGTAAATGGTCAGCAAAGGTTAAAAGGCAGGTTCATAATTGTATGTAGTGTCTCTACTGTGACATGTCTCCATGCTTTAATGTCCAAAAAGCTCTTTATTTTATCATACTGCCTGTGCTGCAGCACCTCTTCTCACCCTCTGTCTGAAACCAGAGCCCAGTCTGCTCTGATTGTTCGCTGGCTGGCTCTGTTTTGATTGGTCAACTGCTTTGAGATGTCTCGCCCCTTAGCCTCTCTGTTGTTTTTTTTTGCCCTTAGAAGGTGTTGGGAAAGTCAGGCCCCCTTAGCACTATCACATACATTGCCGCTGGAGCCGTAGCCATTACAGGAGCAAGTGTTATTAGGGACTGTCATTTTATGTTGCTACAAGTAAACAAAGCTAGAATATCAAGCGAGCTTTCTAGCGGGGCGAGTGTGGGAAAGAAACTCCCTCCTGCCGGTGTGACTTTGCGTCTTTTAGCTTTCGCAGACCCATTTACGATGCGATACAAATCTGTTAGTAATAACACAGGAAGGAAAAACTCCAGCAAAGCGGATAAATAGCAGCCGACCTTTAGATTGCGTGTGGAGCCTTGCTTAATGCTGTGCAAAGTGTTTACAGCACACTAATCGTAAAGGTCACATTTCCTTTAGATAATCTTGATCAATAAACGTGCCCAATCAGCGTAACAGACAACCGGTCGAACTAGGTGCTATGTTAAAGGCTTACATTATCTTTTAAGTTGTTTACAGCCCTTCATTAAACTTACAATGCCCTCTCATCCAACGATATATTAAGCAATTGAGGGCCCTAGACTGCAGATCACTTGTGGTATCTTCCTACGAGTAACTTAACTAACTGGCGTTTTTACAGGCTCCTGCCTGTGCTAATGACGGTTTCAAAGCTTACAATTTGTTTGATTGCAGCTTTTCAACAATGTTTTCAGTAAAATGCTAAACAACGGCCCCGCCTGATAAATTATTCAGTTGCCACATTGAACTTCTGGAGCAGGGATTAACGCATGGATGTTATCAGGGATTTACAGTATTCATTAAGACCAATGTGTCAACATGTGAGCGCTTTGGTTTTTAATCAGAATGCTGTTTTTGTGCCGATGTTGTTGGATTACTGACAAATAATCAAGTGTGCTTGTGCTGCACATTATTCTTCCTGCTCTTTTTGCTGGGTTTTTTTACAAGCCGCTGCAAACGCTGAATTAATCCTGGTGTTGCTGAGCATATAGCTTAGGGTGCTGCAACTGTAAGGGAGCCGGGGCGGGCGGGGCGGGGGCGCAGCGTGGTCCTCTCCTTAATAAAGCCCAGGGGGGTGGCCCCTGAAAA